GTATGGCACCTTTATAATTCCCTCCTGTGGTGCATCAGAATTTTGGACGCGTTTACTGCGTATCCACGGGAGTGTTCTGTTGGGAACGGGTGCGACTACGAATGCAGCTTCTACGTTACTCATGCAGACAATGCTACTTTAAAAAAATAAGGTTGATTGAACGATTCGCCTAAATTGTTTGGGTGTAAAATCTATGTGGTACGGTACTTCTGAATGGTAGCGGGGACTTAGTTTTAGCTTTCGCTGAAATCTAACCAAAAGGGCAGGAAAAACTGCCTGCCGTTTAGTGCTTATGTATATACTCTGTTCGTAGACTGCTTTTTCTAAGTAACGAATATATTTATTACACAGTTTCTAAAATGCCGTGTACCTGTATTTACGTTGCACTTTTTGGACATCCATTGTGTATTTCTTTTTTCTGCTATAATGCCAAACTCGATCAAAGTTTAACATACGTAAACTTTGATATATTCCTCGAGTTATGCATTAGATATGAAACTGTTGGCAGTAGTAAAGCTAGTACTTTAATCTAAAGGCTATGGAGTTTAAAGCTCATTGCACAAGATCCCTCAACCACCGGTTTTGGTTCAAAGAAAGGCCAGCACAGTTTAGGATGATTTCCTAAGTTCGTAACAATAGAATTTCAGGTTTTTTTTTATTTAATTAGTTCCTTTTCTGGCGAGAAGCGCTCAAAAAATAAAACGTAATGTCTTGACCATTTGATGGCACACCAAAATCAAAGAAGATTTGCGAGGAAATTATTTGAATTGTACAGCGTCAACGATCAGGATCGGCATTATAGTGGACTTGAATTACATGATTAACTGGAAAAACGGTAGTGAAGAGTAACAGGAGTTTTGAAATCTGCAAAGGAAATTTGAAAGCAAGATTATTGCAGATTATTTCTCTTGGTAATTTTTGTATTATAGGTGTGAAGGACGACTATGACCAATGCAAAAAAGTTGATATTTTTTTGACAAAAGTTTCCCTGTATACATGCTTTCTTTATTTTGTTGCGTCAGAATACTTGGAAAAAAAAAAAAAAAAAGTAATAAAAAGGAGTTGTACGAGCGCAGAACAAGTTCTGATCGAAGACAAAAATCGTAGTCGGCTTTATACCTACGGTTGGCGGCTGCAACTGGTAATGCAGGTCTTGAAGCAGATATTATTTTTCAGTTTATTATTTCGTCTCAGTGTAATCAGGCGAAACTGAATTCCAAGTGCTGAACCTTCGCAAAGCCAGATAATGCTTTTTGGAATTCTAGCATTTTGTTCTATTTTAACGTTGACGATTTTTATATGTGTATCCCGAACTCCGTAGTGACTACTGCGGTACTTTCCACCTATTTTTGCAGTTATCAAATTTATGTGCAACATCAAGTTCATTACTTTTTCTAGCGAATAAAGCAGCCTAATTTTTTTTTTTTTTTTCAGATTTTTTCCAATTGAAGTAAGAACTTCATTTTTCATCCTTATTTAGTTTATATGAGCTTTGGACAAGATAGACTTGACCTGTCCTCTTTGCCAAAGAGTGCGGTCTGTGGTGTGACTGGATTTCAGAACTGGAATGATACGGTGGTCGGGGCTATTGCAGTTACCAGTGGCTACTGTCAAACATGCTTTTTCCCCTTCACTCTACCGTGATTTTTTTTCTCCAGAGATTCTGCATTGTTTAACCCATCTTTAACAATTTCAGAGCTATCTGTGTCCCTTTTTTCCTGAATTTTGGGCCGAGTAACAAAGTTTCATCTCTACTTCAGTAGCATTTCAAACTACCGCTTTGCTGGTAGCGTGTGTGTAATGAGTAGTATCCAGATTTCTTGACCAAACTCCAAAAAATCCGGACAGCCAGAAAATTTTAGTGTTTCCCAACTGCGGCGTCAACTCTCCTCGAATTTCTTCTGTTCCCGCAAAAATGCCTAGACAGTCATCCCATTTTAACAATGCATAGAAAGTGCTGGTATGGAAGGTGATCAAAGGAGTTGTTGGAGAAAGCTTTCGGAAGCACTCACTCATACGTAATTCTGTCGAGAAGGTTTCAGGGTTTATCTAATGGCCTTTTCTAGTATAAAACGCCTGGATTATGAAATTAGTTAAACTACAAACGCATTCAGTGGCAGAAAAAATTGAAAAAAATCAAAGCATATCTTACTACGGGAACTGGGCCTTGAGTCGTGCAGTCGCGGAATGTGGCCATCTATCACGTCACTTGCCGCTTAGGGCTTAAATTAGGGTAACTTAACAGTAAAAAAAGTACATCTGCAGTTGGAATTCCTAACTGCAGTAAGCGCCTTATTGGTTTCGCTTTATTGGATTTTTTGTTTCTTCGATTTGACAAATCATTTTACAACTCGTAATTCCGTTCCGTACTTAGGTGGATACAATAAAGATAAAAGTTTAAAGAGAAACAGAAAAAAGCACAATTTTAAATTTTTTAAAAAGACATTATTTGCGTAGAATTTTTTGCGTTATAACGTATCTAACTATTCGATTATGGGATCCTCATGGACCTCAGAGTTGCAGGCCGAAAAGAACGTGAAATTAAGAGCACTATTTCCTTGACAGTGATCCAACACGTTTTACAGTAGTGAAACTAACTTTAGTTTTTTCTGAAAGCCACAGAGATTGCTTATCGAAATTTAGTGTTTAAAAAATCAGAACGTTAAAAAATCATATTTCAAAGGGAACTAATTGCAAATTATGGTTATGAGTGGATCTTATTTTAGCGTGTACTGCTTCCTATACATTGTGGTCAAGTGGGAAGGTCAGAGAAGCAAAGTCATTTTGCGAAAGAGTGATACCAATACACATGAAGCGACTGGAACTCTGAGGAACAGAGAGTTTTGTGTACAAAGAATGCTTGGGGCAGGAGGATGTCCATTTCCGTCTTTGACGGATCAGTGAAGAAAAAGTTTTAAGCTTT